AGATTAATTCATACCATCATTTTTGCATGAACAACGAATGGATCTAAACCACCAATGTGCTTTGAAATTCTTCATTCTTTTTGCATTAAGAATTTTGTCTTGCTTTTCTCAATTTGTTTTGCCATTCTTCTGGACCCCATATCGTATCGATAAAGGCATCCTAAATTTCATTTTTGATCTATCTTAACATGCCTTTGCAGTCTCTAATATCATTTGTTTTCACATCCATCGTTGCTTTGTTCCTTTCTTCTGAAAGCATGTCTTTTAACAGATCAGAGCAAAGTTTATCCCATGTCTGTAGAACCAAAACATCTTTATTTGTAAGCTAAACACATTTTTCTTACATCAAAATAATAGAGTAAATAAAAAAATTGATACAAAAGTAATTGAAAACAAAAAGTTATAATTTAATTGAATAACAAACATAATACCTGAAATTTCTTAAACATTAAGTCTTTTATGTCATTACGGACTTTCTTCCATATTGGCAATGGACTATGAAAATGATTTTTTATAATCCTTGATATTGTAGCCGTGACCGCTCGCTTGAAAAAAGTACTTGTAGAAGATGAAAGAAAATTATTGCATAGTAAAATATATAACAAATATAACTCTCATTAAAATAAAAAATAATGTATCTCTGTTCAATAGGAGTTATAAGCAATCTTTTGAACGGATCTGTAGGAGTCTATAATCTTACACTAGGCCCTTTACCCCTTGACCTCAATGATGTACCATCTCCACTTGCACCTAAAGGAATGGATGTGGATCCATGAGAATCGTGAGTAGATGTCACATTATCAACTTGCTCTGCAAATGCATCCAACGAACAAGGTGGCTTTGAGGGCACATCATTGACTTGTTGCATCTGTGGTTGAGTGGATGGATTAGCAAATGCACTAGCAGTTGTAGGCAACGGCATAGATCCAGAGGCATTTGCTGCTTTAGTTCTCAGTTTTAAATAATTCCCTCTAACCATCATTTTTGCAATATTCTATATAAAAAACTCATACACAACTGTTAAAAAATTGAAACAAACTATAAAAATAATCAAATTACAATAATCAAGAGTAATTTCCAAGCATGTGTACAATAAAAAAAATGTAATAAAAACGTCATTATAATGTATTCATTTCAACAATTTAAATATAAACTATAATATTTTATAACATTTCAAAATCTTTGAATGATAATAATTAAGTTAAACAACTGTGTAACAAAAGATACAAAACCAATAACATATATGTCTACCATCATCAATCACTTTCAAAATAAGCCAACTCATGTTTTTCATTATCATCACTTTCATCACTAATAGTTTCTTCATCTTCATCTTTAACTTCTTTTTCATCTTCATCTCCTTCCATGCCATCTTCTTCATTTTCATCTCCATACATGTCATCTTCTTTATCCTCAGTCAAGAGATTAACCTCTTCATAATCACCACTTGCTAAACTATAGGGATTTCAACTTCTTCCAAGAGAGTAACTGTAGAAGCAAAAAATTATCAGCCAATTACGTGCCGCCATGTGGATGTAATAATATTTTAACTATATAATTAATTATAAAATAATTAATTTATTGGTTAGATTATTTTTAAAGACATATAGTTGAACCAATTCACCTATTGGTATATACTTATCTCTCAAAATAATTTAGAGATAATATTTATATTTTGACCAATCAAATATTAGCTATTAGTCATCCAATTTATCTCTAAACAAATCAAAATAATTTAGAGATAATATTTATATTTTGACCAATCAAATATTAGCTATTGGTCATCCAATTTATCTCTAAATAAATCAAAATAATTTGGAGATAATCTTCATATTTTTGACCAATTAAAATTTAATTAGTGGTCATTTAAATTATCTCTAATAATTATATTAATTTAGAGATAAAAATCAAATTGGATTATTTAATTTAACTCTAAATAAATTGGAGATAATACCTAACTTCGGCCAATCAAAATCCAAGGACTCAAAGTCCAGGCAATCAAAAGACTTTCAATGAGTCATCATAATTTAGCTCTAAATAAATTAAAATAATTTAGAGATAATTCAAAGAGATTTCATTCTCATCAAAGTCTCCCACTTAACATTATAAATGGGAGGCTCCTCCAAGCCATTTTGATTCATTCAGAAGCATTTGAAGATTGAGAAGCATTCGAAGATTGAGAGCATTTCAGAGATCAAGAAGAATATAAGATTTCTGAGGTGAAGATCAAGCAATGGTGAAGTTCGTGATCAAGTGACAGCGAAGTTCGTGATCAAGACAAACTCCAAGTTCGTGACTCTTGAAAACGAAGTGAAGAATTTAATCAGAGGAATTTTCAGAGATTATCACTCACATCATCCAATATTTGTATTTGTCTCATAATTTTCAAGTCAAGAAATTTTGACAAGAAATTTGTGTGTACAAATTTCTGGCACACCCAGTGGGACAATCTCTACCTCTCATCTTCTTTCTTCAAACAAATCT